AGCAGCATTTAGCTGATGTTTTACAATCTTTTCTCAGCATTAATGACAGCTGCTCATCAGTGGAGGGTTTGGTGGTTCTGACTGCTCTACTGTCTGATTATCCTCCTGTGATGGAGCTGCATATCAGGTACAAACACGCATTTAATCTTAGCAACCATAGTTGCAGGAACTTTTAGACATACTGTACCAGGAAATGCAAAATTAGATTTATGTTAGAGTTATTGCTGTCACCTCTGCTCTGTATCTGAATGTTTCTTTATGTTGCAGATTACAGGTTCCTGTTAAGGTGTCTATTGTGTTTGCTAGGGGAAGGGAAAAACCTGCAAGCGGAATATCCAAATCTCTCTGGTATGTTAATGCTTCTGTAACACAAGCTTACAACAACAATATATTTGATGTTGCAGAACAATAGTAGGGTAGCATTTAGAATGAGTAAAGTGATAATTTTAAGTTGGTAACCAACAGACCATCAGTTATCAAGCAAAAAGTTTTAATGTTTTCATTGTTATAATGGGTTTTTCAGGTGTATCCTTTGTCCAATAATGATATGTCATCAGTATTAATGATAATCATTCAGCTTTTGCTTCTTTCAGCCTCAGCTTCTGCAATCTGTCTCCTGCTGATCTGGAAAGTGTGTTGAGATGTCTGGGTACCTCTTCTGATCTCACTATGCTGGAGTAAGATGAGCAAGAACCATGAAAGTGCACACACCATTTTACCATGGACAGATAATAAAAATAGGACCATTTCTAATTAGTAGATAATAAATTTATGTGTAAAAAGCCTAGAAAGTTTTCAGGGGCAGCCGTATGAATACAAGTGTCTACAATTACGAAGATAATGGTGCAAAGGAAGGAAAGTTATTTACAAAGTGCGTCGGGCAATAAAAAAAACCTTTCTACTCCACATTTGTGTTAAAAACTGATGTCTTGGACATTATTCTAAAAATGACAGTGTATGCTCAGTTTATGAAGTAGCTAACCACTACATCCTAAACCACCTCTAAAATGATGCACCATCATGGTTTTTGCATACAGGTAAACTTTAGGTAGCTTATACAGTGCTTAACAAATTTATCAGACCACCTGTCACACACACATATTTAATTATATATAAATATTGTAAATAACTGTAATTTGTAATAGAAAGATCTCAACAAATGTGTCACATTTAGAGGAAAAACAGACCACTGTTCACACTCATTACACATTTCAGGTGTGTGTGCACTACTGATATTGATATACTGGCTCATTTTTGTCATGTTCTCTTGATAAATGTACAAACACTGAGTTGTAAGGCATTTTTAACCTTTCTTTTCAGTTTGTCCAGTAACTGTTTAGGCAACAAAGGTCTGAAGAAGTTGTTGGATTTCCTGCCTCGTCTTAGCAAAATCCAGGAAATTAAGTAAGCTCACACGCATGCATTTATTTTCTCTGACAAGGCTGGAGCCTGTCATAGGGTGGCATAGGGTGTCTGTGGGGGGGTAGATATTTGGACAGGCTGCTAGTCTGTCACAATGCTCACACACAATCATTATAACTAATAATTAATTAACAATTCTACCTCT